CCCCAAAACCCCAAAACCCCAAAACCCCAAAACCCCAATTGCAGCCATAAGGTTGAATTTCCAATTATACAAATACTTCCAAATCACCAATATATTCCAGGGTTATCTATGCATAGGAAAAGCTAATCATGGAACACTTCTGCGGTGCTTGCAGAAAACATCCCCAATGTTATTAGAAGTAGGAAGGGCAAGAGTGAACCCTAGATGTGATTCCTCCTCTTCATCCTGATCTTCCTTTGGCTTATCCTCGGAAGGAGTCACCTTAGTGAACTTATGATGCACAGTTGATTGGTTCTGCTCCTCAATATCTTCTTCAGCTTCACAATGGCTGAACTCTGATAAGTCGAAGTACTCATAGTTCTGTTTGGAATCACAGCTATAATTCGCATCTCTGAGATCTTCCATTAAGGTCTGGGAGTTATCAAGAGCAGCATTCTAGATATGAGCATTAATTGTGACTTACTTTCTCTTGTATGATCTCTGCGAATCTCTGCTCAACATCTTTCATCAGGTTAGAATCTGCTTCACTATGATAACCCTCTTGACTATGGTATTGGTCTGAGTCCTGAGAGAGGTTGATCTCTTTCCTGTCAAAGCCAAGTCTTTCAAGCTCTCCCTGGAAGCTAGCTCTCATATCAAAATGCCTGCCAGTGATAGGCTCTCTGTCATGGAAAAAGCTATCTGTTGTTAATCTTTCGGCCTATATGCATCGGTGAGTCCTTGCATGTTATTATTTTACTTGATTTTTAAAATTATGAAAATTTCTGAAAAATTACCCTATCATTTTTGTCAATATGGCTTGCACAGGAGTCGAATGGGTTCTTGTAATCACTATCGTTTAGTAAATCTCAGCTATCCACCCCTGAGATTCCCGCATCGTGCATTAGACCATGGTGGAAATTATCCCTGTGGGAAAAGTTCCTTTGAAATTTTAATTGAGACGAAAGCAGAGTTGATTCTCATGAGCTTCTATGATTAAGTTATTAAGTATGAAAGGTATCTTTTTGGCCCTTGGATACCCAGAGATATCCTATGATACAGAAATTTCAGTATAATTGCCCGAGATTACGGTGGAAGATCCGAGAACTTACCCTAATTTCTGAGTGAGCATATCAATCAACTTCTCTTCAGCCTTGACTTGGTCTTTCAAATACTTATTGAAGCGATCAGTCTCCTCCTTCTTGGCTTTAAGTTGTTCATTTTCAAGTAAGGCTTTATTTTTGAGTTTCAAAGGTGATCTTCTCTGACTCTAGCTTGCTAAGTTTGTACTCTAAAGACCATAAGTAACGAATTAAATAGTCCAGAAGAGGTACAGGAACCCATTAATGAGTTAATAGAGGTAGGCTTACTAAACAGATGTTCCCGGTTGCTCTGAATAGCCTTGGGTGTAGTAAAAGTCTTTTGGAGTTCAATCTCTTCTTCAGCGATTTCAGCTTTCAAGCTTTCATCAGTGTCGCTATCGTTTAGGCTGTAATATTTCACAAATGTATGTTTGGATTGATTCTTTTTGAACACAACCTCTTTCTTCGAAATTTGCCTATAAAATCACTCAAAATGCTATACAAATTAGACGTATCAACACTAGGTTGTTCACTGTTTTCCTTCTGGGCTCTGACTACCTTCACAAGGTGGTTCTTCTGCTCCTCTAGGTCAGTGTTCAACTGTTTGTATTTCAATAACTGGTTATTTTAAACTTGTATTCTCCAAGGAATATCTCGTATTAGCTATCTCTAGTGATCTTATCTCCTCGTATTTGTCAGTCCTAAAGAAGTAGTGAGGCGCAGTTGAAGGTTTAGCTCCCCGAGTAATCATGCATAAGGCTGGAATAGACCCAATCTCTCATTATGTGAGTGATGTGATAATTTTAAATTTTAGTTTTAGACATTCAGCAACCGAAAATTTCCAGTGAACATTTTAAATGGAGACCGTTAGGTTTTAATATATCTTATTTACCTTAAATGCTCTAATCTAGAGACAGGCTATGCTAAGAATTACAAAGATGAGGTTCTGGTTGCAAGTATCAGGGAAATCTAGAACGAATACTCAGAGATATACACCTAATAAAGAAAAAGCTGTAAGGGTGTGAGATGGCCTATAAACCTACTTTTCACGTAGCCTATCATATCTCTCTTGCAATGACTGGATCTTTTGCTGCAAAATTTGATTCAGATTCTCAACTCTTTCGTGCTCCTTGGAGATGTCCATTTTTGCAAAATTTATTTTATTTTTAAAACTAGGAGAACGGGGTTTTGGGGTTTTGGGGTTTTGGGGTTTTGGGG